TGAGCCACTGCGCCACGGAGCCGTCAATCTTACAATTATCCTCGATTGAGAATCAAAATGTAGATGCGTTTGTCACCCCTGAGGGCTAAGATGGAATGCGAGAAAATTTTGAGATTTACTATTAATACGAGGGTGGATTGAAAAGTACTCGGCCTAACACAGATCCATTCAATTCTAAAAATCAAATCTACCCACATTATTTAGTTCAAGTTCAGACTAGTTCATTGTGTGAAGTTCGAAACGTGTGCGATAATTAGTTGTGATTTTATAAATTTATTAACAAAGTAATCGAACATAATTTCCGCGAATGGAGCAAATCGAGCAGCGTGCCGTCATTAAGTACCTCCATAAGAAGGGGCTATCATCAAAAGCCATCCATGATGACATGGTCAGTACATTAGGCGATTGTGCTCTGTCATATTCATCCGTCAAAAAATGGATAGCAGAATTTATGCGTGGTAGAGAGAGTGTGAAAGATGAACCCCGCTCTGGAAGGCCTTCGACGTCAACTACTGACGAAAATATTAAAAAAGTACTTGATTTAATAATGGGAGACCGTAGATTAAAAATTAGAGAGATAGCCGAGATTATAGGCATCTCTTATGAACGAACTCAAAACATCATTGTCAACGAGTTGGGTTTCCACAAGGTGTCTGCGAGGTGGGTTCCGCGACTGGTTTCAGTTGAACAAAAAAGGATGCGATTGACTATTTCACGCGACTGTTTGGAGTTATTTGAAGCCGATGCAGATGATTTTTTGAATCGTTTTGTTACTATGGACGAAACATGGGTTCATTACTGTACACCGGAAACAAAACAACAATCAAAACAGTGGAGAAGACCTGGTTCACCACCCCCTAAAAAGGCTAAGTCGATTTTGTCGGCAAATAAGGTGATGGCTTCAGTATTCTGGGACTCGAAAGGTGTGATTATGATTGATTATCTTGAGAGGGGTCAGAATATAAACTCTGATTACTACTGCACCTTACTACGTCGTTTACGAGAGGAAATAAAAGAAAAACGTCGAGGAATGCTCAGAAGAAAAGTCCTGTTTCATCAAGATAACGCCCGTGTTCACACGTCAGTACAGTCAATGGCTGAAATTCACAACTGTGGCTTTGAACTGTTACCGCATCCGCCGTATTCACCTGATCTGGCACCATCAGACTTCTTTCTGTTCCCTAACCTAAAAAGCACTTGGGAGGTCAAAGATTTTCGGCAAACGACGAGGTCAAAGCAGCTGTAGACGCATATTTTGACTCTAAGGAAGAATCATTTTTTTTCAACGGTCTAAATGCTTGGAAGGGGAGGTGGCAAAAGTGTATTGAACTTGATGGTGATTATGTAGAAAAATAAAAATATAACTGATTTAGTATTTGTTTATTTTCTTGGTTAGGCCGAGTACTTTTCAATCCACCCTCGTATTTGCCTCAGGTTTACGTAGGTTTGCGTAGCAATAACTCAAATCTCTTTAGCGGTTATACTAACTATGTAAGTTAGATGTTTTACGTATATAGAAATATGGTTCATTAATTTCAAGACAAGCTATTTGTTAAGTGTTAAATGATTACAATAATCTTATTTCCATTCCGGATAAACAATGTCAATTGCATTAACTAGCTGATAATTGTAACAGCTACAACGAATTTAGATTGGGCTATTATTTTACATTAAAGGCTTATAAATTTAATACCTGTTCATTATCAATATACAGAAATTTACTGCTTTAGAGGCAATAAACTACCTACTTAGTGCAGACGAAATCGTGAGAGAATTTCGACTGCAATTTCGAAATTTTGATTCCAAACGTTGTGGCCTTTTATGCCTTTCGAGACTGGTATTTGATGATTCATATTACATGCTAGATATTTTTGTATGCTTTGCCCTACCTTAAGAGATACAATCATCCTTCTTATCCCATAAAAGTAGGGATGAGGATGAGATAACCCTATTATAGTTACCGCCCGTTGCACCAGGGTGAAGATGGACGATAGTATCCTGGAAATGGCGGAGGCTATCACGAGGATTTTTAAAGTATACTTTTCTTCCATGTAATCATATAATCTTGTTTTCAACATCTTCTCCCGCCATCACAACCTGGTAATTGTTTAGGATATTTTTTTAAGTATAACGTTGTAATTGTCATACTTAACCGGCAGATTGACTATTTCAAAACGTCTGTTCATTGCTCCTCGTCAAAAGACTTCTAACATTTAGTCATGGCTGGAGATTGTACAGTGGACCCCTGGCTAATCCGCACCCCCTTGTAATCCGACATGCAGGTACAATCACAGAATAAATAATAGTACTACGTAGTACAATCGAGTCGCGTTATGAATCCGCCACGGGGGGAGGAGTTTTTCGCGAATACGTGAACAAACTTGTTGCGATTGCATTGCACGTATTGTCTCAGCTTAAATGTGACTATGGTAGCGGCCTAGCGGGCATTCATTATTTATTTTTTATTTTAATATTTGATATGTAATTTGTCGGATTACAAGGTACTGTTTTTCAAAAAGTTCCGGACTACCAGTAGGTTGTGGCAGTACTCGATATAATCCGACACCGCTTTGCAAAACGTACCTCGAGTCAACTGTAATGCCCCATATATTGATAGCCGAAGCCGATCTTTCGAAATTTTCGGAAGTCTCCCCTTACAATTCCACATGGCAAATAAAATTTTCGAACATTCTAGCGGGAGACATATTATGGTCAGCAGCGGACCTTTAGACTGGCCGAAGTAAATTAAAACTTATATAGTCACATTAACAACACATCCACACGTGCGCCGGTATTCATGTGTCTAAATTTATCGATACGGCCAATGTCTTAGGCGAGAATCTATTTTCGTGATACAACGCGGGAGACGCGCTCTGTGTGTCTCTCAACCTTTATTTGATACAAACAATTGAAAGCTATTCTATGATGATCTGGCATTTGTTCGCTATGAATGGAAGTTCATTTACACCCAGCGATTTTTATTGCATCGGCGAAACGCGCTAAGTGATTCGCTGTAGAGAATTTGAACTTAGGTCATTGCAATCCATTTTACTACATTGAAATGAAAATTAATATCTATTTCTTTTTTTATAAAAGTAAGGGTGACAAACAGCCACCACATTTCACTTATGGTAAAGTGGATGCTGTATCCCATAGACACCTACATCTAGGGTTGCCACACACAAAAATTGATATTGTCCCCTAATATGGAATCTTTACTAGAGGACAAGATAATATCGCTTGTATTCGACATTCCCTCTCCTAGTTGAGGTCAGAGTTTAAAAATCACGTTGAGGTGACGCGCTATTTTAGAAAAATTACGTTAATTTACGATTTTACATTTTTTTTGTTATTAATAAATGTCGCTTCTGATACCATAACAGCATTGTTATTGAAAACTATATGATGTCCTTAGTTTTTATTCTATTTCCTTTATTTAATATTATCAAATCCTCTAAAACATAAAACGGGATCTGTCGACCCTACCTACATTTATCCTCGATTAATAATAAAAATGCAGATGCCTTGTCACCCCTGAGTACTAAGATAGAATGCACCATTCAATCAAAAATTACGGGTCAGATTTTGATCAAATTTATATGAGAGCCGAGAGAAATTTTAAATTATTAAAGTCTGTTCAAAATCGCTTCTTCGCTGTTTTATCGGCGTGCGCTGTCCAAATTTGAATATAATGCACGTACTATTGTAAAAAAAAATGGGTGTTATATTAATTAATAGGATGTGTAGGTAAAATATTTTTGCATTTTTTCTTTTAATTACCTTTTAATATTTATAACAAAGTTAAATACATATATAAACTACTGAGCTCAATCAATCTTAACTTATAAGACAATTTAAATAGTTTATATACGCAAAACGATTGCATATAATCCAAGAATCGTCTAAAATCAGCACGAAACGTACGCTCGGAAATAGAGTGAGGCGTGACGGCAGCTGCGCGATTACATGAGCGAGTTGTATTTAGATTTTAGAACGCACTATGTACGCGAAAATGTAGGTATTCTAATTTTAAAGTTATATTTTTATTCATAGAAGCACAATTAGCATAAATATTGTTTTTTATTTTTCTTCTAAATGACTGTCGCGGATGGACCACCCCGTTCCGACTTAATACAACTAATCACTACAAAACAACAAAGTAAAAAAAAATTGTACTAGCTGACTCGGCAGACGCTGTTCGGCCCTTTCAATTAGGGTGCGCCATAGAGTTTCACTCTGAATCCGCTCCGGACATTTTAGTGTAAATATAATACTAATAACCCGATTACCTGATCACAGCGCCACCTATCAACACCAAATTCTATTACTTTCTTTTTTGACATTAAACCTACAAATGTTATAAATAAGAGTCTTTTTGGAATACAATTTGTTTTTATCCTTGCTACATCAAGGCCAGCTATTGTTTAATCAAAGTTAGGAACCATCATCTCAACAAAACAATTAAATAAATATGGCATCAATCGGTCAAGTCGTTCAGAAGTTGCATATGCATGATCACTAACAGACATACCAACTATTACATAGATTTTATATATATATTCTATTTACAGTACCTGTTTACATTTGAGTTACACCATGGGTTGACTGGCAGAGAATACAGTCATCTCTTTGTTATTAAAAACAATATAGACATATTTTCTTATACAAGTGAGGTAGACAAACAAATTCCACCTGATCTTAAGTGGATCTGTAGCCCAAAGACCACTGATATCTATTATCGATTATGAATACACAACACATTACACATGTTTGTCGCACCTGAGGAAAATGGAACACCTTGTTACCTGTAAGATAAACAGCTTAGTAGAGTTTAGAATGTGTTAAGAGACACTATAATATTATGGTTGTAGCACAAAAGTTCGGTTCATCCGGAGAAGGACTATTAACAAAATACATATAAAATGTAAAATTTTATTGACTAGGTCCTTTTAACTTAATTTTTTAATTAATTTCTACAAACAACCGCTGTTTTATTCCAGGCGTCTGGTGTAACAGTCTCGGACGCTTGCAAAACGACCTATGAAGAGATAAAGAAAGACAAGAAGCACCGCTACGTTGTCTTCTTCATCCGTGATGAGAAACAGATCGACGTGGAAACGATAGGGGAGAGGAACGCGGAATACGACCAGTTCTTGGAGGACCTGCAGAAGGGCGGCACTGGCGAGTGCAGGTTTGTGGCATTTTCTTTTTAAACAGTTTAGTTGTTGCAGGTGCCTCAAAGCTAAAGATGGTATGTATGTATGCATGGTAGAGCCATGCTGCAGCTATAATATAGTTATATCGCGAATGGGTCGGCTGCACCGGGGAAGGACCACACTCACAGAATACCAATGTAAAATAGCAGCTGAATGCTGCTGTGTTTCATACGGTGAGTGTAGAGAACAGGAGACCCTTTGAAATGAGGCATTCCATCTTAGTTATTAGAGATGACTAAGTGCACATGGCATTTTATTTCTTAATCAATGACTGTAGGTGTCTATGGGCCACACCATCTACTTACCATCAGGTGGGCTGTGTGCTTATTTGTCATCCTTATTCTAAAATAAACTTTCTCAGTTCCTTTTGAAAAAATTCTTTATTCATAAATCAGCCAGTGTTACATCTAAATACCACGTAATATTTATAACGGCTCGGTAGCGAAGTGCCTTAGCCAAGAGTTCAAATCACGCATGAAGTAAGTGTTTGTATGGCCTACCATATAGCTAGGCCATACAAACATTGTCCCGATTTGGAATTTTTGTCCATGTGCATTGAAACTATTTTATGTATATATAAATTTAACGAAATTCGATGGTAATGTTTATATATCTTTAATATTGGCACATAAGACCTCACCCGTTGTAGAAAGGACTTACCCTAATTGTTATCTTTATATGGCCTCACATAGAATTTTTGCCATTGTTTCTATGCTTAGGTTGGCAACTGCAGTTTTTATTGTTTTAAATTGTTATCAAAAAGATGCTGCCATGAAGCAAATACAAAAAGGAGACGTTGTAATTAAATTCCACTATATGTAACAACGCGTGACTATTTGCGGGGTGAGGGGATGCAAAGCCCCGCCCACTTTACACTATCTACATCTACCGATAAATAGTAAAAATACTCGAATCTGTCCATATCGATGTTGCAATGTAGCTTAGCTACCTTGACGGTAGATGGCGGCATGTCCACAAAATGTAACTATAAATATAACTATAAAAATAATATTTTGGCGATTAAAATTTCTTTATGTCTGAATGCAATACAAATTTCAGCACCTTTGTATGATTATTTTGTCATTACTGAGCTCTACGTACGTTTATATTTTTAGTTCACAGGACACAAAGTGTCGCCATGTAGTGTGGAATATATTTAATTATATTTGAAAGCCAACGCAAAGAGATTTTTCTAGAACTATTTTAATAAATTAGGTGTAAAATTACTTACAAATGAAATGTGATGCCATCCATAGCATCGGAGCGTCTTCGGAGGAGAACAAATGATAGACAAATTATTATAATTAATATAATTTTATTTACAAATCAATTAAAATATAAATGTTTTATTCCAAATTACGCATCCGAATGCACTTTTTGAATGCCAATCTAAGAACATTAAATTGTATTTGTGATTCTTTGCATATAGAATGTCACTTAAATATAACTTAAACATTTCGTAAAAATCAGCCTAAGTACAATTTCCTGCATTTAATATTAAAAGTTGGATTACTGGGAATAATAAATGAATTCTAATTAGGGTCCTGTCTTTTTGTCATTTTTATGAGGTTTACTTGACGAGAATATGGCCTGTTCTCAAAATGATTATAAACTATAAAAATAATATTATATATTTATTTTGCGATTAAAATTTATTTATGTCTGAATGCATAACAAATTTCAGCATCTTCGTATGATTATTTTACTAATACTGAGCTCTACGGACCTTTATATTTTTAGTTCACATTACACAAAATGTCGCCATCTAGTGTCGAATATATTTAATTATATTTGAAAGCCGAGGCAAAGAGATTTTTCTAGAACTATTTTAATAAATTAGGTATAAAATTATTTACAAATGAAATGTGATGCCATCCATAACATCAGAGCGTCTATCTGAGTAGTTCTTACACAATAAAACACAACACTTCATCCTTTTCTTCTTAATACTACGAAAATACACCGATTTGCGATTTTTTCAACACATAAGCGCACAGGACGAATGCTGACAGTAAACTAACTAAAGCCACGCCCACTATAATGACGTCAGGACCTAATTAGAATCACAGTGCACAGTTGCTTATGCCGTCTCCCTTTGTATTAGCTTCATGGATGCTGCCATACATCTCCTGTTTTAGTTTCCCTATGTCACCTCTTACAACAGCCAAGGGATGATATAGCATAGTAGATTTTTTTTACACCACCACTACGTGGCATTGATTACATAACTAAAAAAAATTCCATCTCATCTCCAGATATGGCCTATACGATTTCGAGTACACGCATCAATGTCAGGGCACGTCGGAGGCGAGCAAGAAACAGAAGCTGTTCCTCATGTCATGGTGCCCCGACACCGCCAAGGTCAAGAAGAAGATGTTGTACTCTAGGTAAGTCTAACTCTCATTTGATGTACTTTTGGTAAAAACTCTGGAGTTCTTACTGGTCCCCTTCCCAGGACAGAGTTTTATCCAAACCAGTGCTAACAAATTAAATGATTTTCAATAAGTCTTGTAATTTAATTTTAAGTTAATTTTATTGCATTGTATTCTATTCATTGTACCTTCAAAAGTAATGTATATAGGTATTAATTTAAAAAATATTTATAAATATTTATATTTTTAAATAGTTAAAATAAAAATCGAGAAAATTGCTTAATAATTCTGTCCATTCAAAAAATTCCAGATTTTTAAAAGAAAATCTACCTGCATAATATTATTTGTTAGAACGACTAACTTATAATTAGGGAGACTGCTTCCCTGCTCTCCTGAATGCACATATACATATATATCCACAATGGCAAGGCTCTCAATAACCAAGAATAATCTAAATACAGTTTTCAAAATAATTATATATAATTGCGCGCATTATCCCCGTCACCACTACACTAGGAAAGACACACCACCGTCGAAAATACGACACGTGTTTCGCTTCAACTAGGCATCATCGGGTAAAATACACTGTGGGGGCTGGCCGCTAAGGGACAATTTTCATGTAAATTCTAGATAGTTTCACATTATTTTTTATCGTATTTACATTAATGTCTTCTATGTATTTTTTTAAATGCTTTATTCATATTTCCGTAACTAATCTTATACTACTAGATTAATATGCGTTCTGAATATTATATACAATAATAAACCAGTATGCAGTAAATTTAGATTTGAAGTAATAAACATTTTACGAGTTTGTCGGGAATAACTGTGTTCATTGGCTGGTCTTGCCAAATTATTTATAATTTCAAGAGAATTCGCGTTATGACATATCGGTTACCTAGATTTAATGAGCTAATCATCCTGAACTATGCCCTGCCAAGTGATTAAGTCTCACCAGAACACTGTGAAAAGTTCTTCTTATGTCGTTTATAGTTCTCTTGTAATGTACTGTATGTTTGTACTCCAGACCATTAAAAAAGGTAGATGTAGCATATGTAAATGTATGAGTTTAATGAAATCAATTTGGTTTACACAGTTGTGTGCATGAGCCCGTGACTGCATGACATACAATTTGGCAATCTGTCTGTCATGCATAGAGGTTACCTACAAATTCTTATTATTAGACATAGACATTAGCTTAATAATTATGAATTAAAATTTTTAAACACTGCAACTGTAACATTCAGAGTTGGCTGCAGAAATTCATCTACTTCTGTGGTCACCTAAGACACATAAGCTTTAAGCTTGCTTATTACTTTAATGTTATAAAAAGGACTAATGAAATTTTCTCTGCCACAGCTCCTTCGACGCGCTGAAAAAATCGCTGGTCGGTGTACAGAAGTGCATCCAAGCGACCGACCTCTCTGAGGCCTCGCAGGAAGCCGTCGAGGAGAAACTCCGCGCCACCGACCGCCAATAAGTCAAGCATTTACCTACCGCTACCACCGAGCTGCGGACGTGACCCACGTGAGACACGTGACTCACGCGAGACACGTGACCCACGCGACATGTGTGACCAAAGTGTTATTAATGTAGTTTGTGGGATTGTGTACCGAAATTGTGATCGAAATATGTGAAATGTGACTTAATCATGACACCCGCGATCTACCAGATGTTACATGTGACCCGCGTGGGTTACATGAGTCACGCCATGTCCCAACTCCGTCAGGAGCGTTCCGCACTCTTATGGTTTTTTATATCATTTCAATTCTTAGCTTTTCTGATATCTAAGGCGGTTAAGGTCCGATGTATGTACAGACACATGATCGATTTCAACTGTATACCCAACGGCCAACGCCGCGCAAAAACTATATAGCGATTAAGGGATCTTTATGTAATAATTTAAATTATACTAATTATTATATATATTTTTCCTATGAAGTAACTAAAGAGTAAAAGTTAAGCTCAAACTAAATTAAACGCAGTGAAATGAAGCGTCACTTTTTTTCTAAGGAAAACAGGTTAGCGAACGCCAGTAGGCTATTTTTACTGATTAGATTGTAATATAATGGAAATACGATTTTATATGATCGCCTAATTCTTTCGTTTTTGATTCAACTCGCTAACATTGCGTAAGCTTTGAGGCTTGTTAATCGCGGGCGGTTGGATAAGTATTTTGTAACCAATTTATCCAGAAATACACTCGATATAAGTGAAAATTGGTGGTTTTATTTTGTTACCCATGTCATTTAAAATAATTTGTGACTTGCTTCCGTTGTATGACAGAGTTAGTGACAACTTATTGAAGAAATACCACAAAAGAGGAAACTTAGAGAAATACTTGAAAGAGCAACATGCAATGAATGTTTTTTAAGCCGATAATTTGATATTCTTAATTAAAATTGAAAAGGATATACCCATGGTTAATTAAATCATGTTCTCTATAATAAAAATACACAAAACAAATAATTTAAAATTAAAAATTTTGTACAGCCGACTTCAATATAAGTTATTAAAAATAACTCAAACACTATTAGTCTGACCTTGATCAAATTCATATGGGACCACACGAGAAGTACTTCCAAATAAAAAAAGAATCATCGAAATCGGTTCACCCAGGTCGGATTGAGTACTGTCTCCTTTTGTCAAGTCTGGAGAAAATATATAGCACAGACCAGTCCCCACAAGCAGCAACTGTTCACAAGTATGACATATGTGGTAGTCATCACCCTTCTTGACCATTTTAAAGGGAACAACCCGCCACAAGCAAAGACCTAGAACATTGACATCCACTGGATGGCAGTATATTTTAATATAATTTAGCCTTTAAGGTTAAAATTTCCTACTATTGGCCAAAAGCTTCCCCCTTTTTTCCATTTATACCAGAAGTAAAATAACCAGACAGGCGTCTGCATTCATATGAAACGTGCGATAAGTCTGAGCATATAATCGATACTTTGATAGAATCGGTAATGGATGCCATACACGATCCAGTTTAGCGTCAAGTTTGCAGCGCTTCAAGTTGATCAGTGTGTATGACAAGTTGAATTTAGATTCTGCCGACTTGATCAAGATTGCTGCTTCATTTAACTTGAACGTGTGTATGAACGGTCAAGTATGCATGACGTTAGTCGGAGCAATAAGCGAGAAACGCCATGGTATCAACTGGTGCGGCATCATGCAAACTAGACGGGCAACTTGAACGTGAGTGGTATATATGGATGCACTGCAAACTGGACGCCGCTCCAAGCACGCTGCAAACTAGACCGTAAACTGGATTGTGTATAGTATCCCTTATGCACCGTTCAAACTGTCTAGATGCGCTATCAATATAATATTTCCAGGATTTAATATTATCGCTCGGCATCACTAATAATAAACTCGTTACTGTAAAGAGTACATACATATATTCGTATAGTAATATTCGTCACTATACGTACCTTAACCCTTAAATTGTCACCCCTAGATCCTTTGGGCATTTTCCGTTCAAATCTCGGTTTAGGGTTGGAATTAATAATAATGATCCTCCATGTCGAAAGGGGAAGGGTTGCTAACTCTGAGGGCATGGACTTATCTATGCCCATCAGCATAAGCACCCTTTCCGAGGCTGAAACATACCGATACCTGGGTATGTCACAGAACATTGGTGTCGATGAGGCGGGTATGCAGCAGTCAGTTTGCGATGTGTTTTATGCACGCTTGACAAAAGTGCTTAACAGTCTTTTGTCGGGCGTTAATAAGACACATGCATATAACGGTTGGATCATGCCTGTTCTCATGTATACATTTGGCATACTCAGATGGACTCAGACCGAACTGAACGCTCTGGATAGAAAAGTCCGCACTGTTATGACGTCCCACAGGATGCATCATCCGAGATCGTCGGTAATGAGGCTGTACTTGCCGCGGAAACATGGTGGGCGCGGCTTTTTAAGCGCGCTTACCATGCATAATCGCGAAGTGTGCAGCCTCCGTAATTACTTTCTGGCGAGAGCGGATGATCCATTCTATAGGGACATTATTTCTTGTGATAATGGACTTACCCCTCTATCCTTAGCCAACGAGCAATGGCAAGACCCGGCAGTACAGAGCATTTCCGACCGGGAGACCGTATGGAAGGAGAAGGAGCTCCACGGGAGGTTCTACAAGGCTCTATACGAGCCTTTCGTAGACACAGTCGCCTTGCTCCACTGGCTACGTTTCGGTGACCTCTTTGGGGAATCCGAGGGTTTTGTCTGTGCGATACAGGATCAGGTTATTAAGACCAACAATTATCGGAGATACATCCTAAAGGATGGCACCGTCGATATCTGTCGAACTTGTCGCCATCCCGGTGAGTCACTTAGGCATGTCATCTCCGGTTGTTCGGCGCTTTCTAACTGTGAGTATTTGCACAGGCACAACTTAGTAGCCAAGATTCTACACCAGGAGCTCGCTCTGAAATACGGTCTCGTGGATTGGAAACTGCCGTATTATAAGTACTTGCCGGAAGCTGTGCTCGAAAATGACCGCGCTAAGCTCTACTGGGACCGGGCCATCATCACAGACAGGACTATTCTTGCGAATAAGCCTGATATTGTGCTGCCGGGCACAGTCAAGGATATTTTTGGTCGACATTACCATTCCTTATGATGAGAACCTCGTGAAAGCCGAAACAGATGAGCTGACAAAATATCTGGACCTGACTCACGAGGTGACCGACATGTGGGGTGGATTGCCGGCCGAAATTATACCTGTAGTCGTCTCTGCGAACGGGTAATTCCAATCCGCCTCTCGGGTCATCTGAGGCGACTGGGACTCCGTGACGGACCGCTCCAAGCTCAAATGCAGAAGATGGTGCTCCTCGATACCGCCCGTATCGTCCGCCGGTTTCTTTCCCTTTCCTCCTAACCCTCGGTCGTTTGTCTCCCCTGCCGAGGGCTTCCATCTGGTTGGGTTTTTATATATTTATGTATTTATTTTATTCAATTGATATTTATGTACGTTTACCATGTTTATTTACTATTATATATTTATATTGCCCAACCAGATGAGAAAAGTTTAGAGATACATAATAATAAATATTTATTTCATTTCAAATTACACATATAGGAATAAATATGATTACAATTAAATAAAGTAACAATAAGTCTAACAAAAATAACATGCTATGATAAAATTAAAACTATGTGTAGCTTAATAATGTAGAATCTACAAAAGAAAAATAGAAAAGTCAAGTTTATAATATTAGCTACCTGCCTGAACTAGGTTGAGTACCTGTGGCGAATTGGGATAGAAAAGAGATTTACGAGTATAACTCAATTTTTTAAGTATCATATCCTCGTAAGGCTCCATGTGATCAGAGAAGTACTAATTAATAATTTATGTGTTTCAGCCCAATACGAAAAATGACATCAAAATTACCGCCCACTGTCATCCACTGATGACAAATAATATTTTCGCTCCTAGATTAAAATGCAGGTTTGTCAGTTAAAAAAATCGTCTTTCAGAAAATAGAAGTTGTTTATTTCTAAATATTGATTTTGTAAATTATGACAGTTTTGAATGATGAAAATGATTATAATTCATCAAACGAATCGGAGATTGAAGCTTTCGTGCCGAGTGATGAAGATTTGGATAAGCTTTTAGAATTAAGTCAGAACTTTCGTTTAACTCGAGTGATTCCGAAAGGTCAGGAAATGGAAATGGGAAAATCTGGAAGAAAGGAAAATTCAGAAACAATCCATCAAGAAGTACTAGGTAGTAGGTTAAATGGAATATTAATGTTATTAATATTCCATTTAACCACTACTATTACTAGTAGTACTACTACTACTATTAGTAGTAGTATTACTAGTATTTAAAAAAGTTGAAGTATCTAATCGATCTTTCATTCCTACATCCACCATATTATTTAATAAAAAATTTTGAAGTTTTATTTTTCATAGAAGAAACAGTTACTTATCAACAATTGATTATCAATAATTTTCATTAAAACCCAAGTCCACTGCTGAATGTAGGCCTCAACTTAACCACTCACGGTCCTGAGCCACCTGAATACATCAACCTCCATATTTTACCAATTCGTTCGGACAAGCTTTGCTATGCTTACCAAGACGAGGCTGCCAATCGGGGATTTTTCGAGCTATGATCGGCCCATTGCACCTTCTTTCTCTTTTTAATTATTTTTAAACTTTTGGGGAAATAAAACACCATATTATACATTTATTAACATTTTAATGTAATTTTCCACTAAATAAACAGTTTAGTCTTATTTTAAGTTACAGACTCATTTTTAATATTTTCCATCAAAAAAGATAAAAGTAATTTAATACTGATTTTAAAAAAGCAGCCCTTTTGATAGTTTTCATGTTGACATCCCGTGGTATGAAATTTTATCTCTGTTTTAAAGACAATCCTTAAGAGACCCCGCAGAAGAAGAAGAATTGTAAGTTGGCCGACTAAATCGCAGAGTATACCAATAGGTATAGTGACATATGC